GATGGGGGACAGTGGAACAGTAGAGTGGGGAGCTGCCATTCCCTCTTTTGGCTCTCTGAGGCTGCTCCACCAGTGCCTGAACGCCAGGCCAGTGCTATAGGCACCAGTGCAGCATCCCTCCCATGTCTCTGCTAATCCTGGCAGGAAGAAGGGCTGCCAGAACGCACTTTGCAGCAGGAGATTGGTTCAGAGTTTCCACTGGCCACAGCTGTGCTGTAAAGCTCAGGAGAATTAATCTGTCATGTCATGGGTTTCTGTGCCAAGGCTTGGGAGAGGCAGGGTGGGGATGGAAGTGGGAGCAATGACCATATTTTTCCCTAGGAAGTCTCCACCTCTTGAGGATGCCACTGATAAGTAAATTGCACTTAACTTCCATGTCGCTGTCAGTCATGAAGCGCAGGCTTTTGTTCATCGACAAAAGGACGGGTAGGGAAGGAGGGTGCAGTGATGGGGCTTTCACTGAATCAGTCCTTAATCACTGCTTCCATTAGCCCTGACATTTTAAAGGTTTGGATGTGCTGAGCAGCAGTGCCTGTTGATACAACTCAGCGTGTAGAAACAACAGGGACAGTGGGGAGGTGGTGGAACAAGAAAACTTGCTTTAACCAGTGCTCTGTCCACTTTTTTCATTTTTTCCCTAAAGGGGGAAACACCATTTCTGCAAGTGGGCTGGATTTAAGGTGCCCAAAATGATGCTAGGACTCGTTAACGCGGAGGATTGTGGCCTACATGCCATGGGATGACAGCAGTGGTGATACTGCATGGAGCAGACAGAGGTAGAACACCCACTGCCTCCTGGCACAGCTTCAACAGCTGCCTTCCGTCACCCATCCGCACTCCTGCCCACAACCAGAGGGTTACCAGCGGGGTGGCATGCATACGTATTGCTCTGTGATCTGGCCGTGGATGTCCATATCTCCCAAGCCGACGCTGAGCTCCCCAGCGCTCGTGATCACTGCACAGTAAGTGGCTGTGTTCCCCTCCAGCTGAAGGACGGCGCTCATTTCCTAAACCAGGGAGGACAGTTACACGTGAGGTGTGTTTCTCTTCCCTGCCGCACTCAGCTCGTTCTTTCTCTGCGCCCACCCAATCGGTAGCAGTAACCCAGCTCACGCTTCCACCCCTGAGATAAGTAACATTTCAAAGGTATTTTGGTCTATACAGTCCTGGCAGATGGCTCGTTTCTAATATTTGCAATGAAACAGATGCCACAGATTAAAGAAATCATTCAGTAAATGGGAGTGAGAGGTCTCTGCCACGCAGCTCCACAGGCTGTGTCTGTCACAGCGGAAAAGTGGTCTGCAGCCATGCCTGCTCCAGCCATCCACTCCCAGAGCTTGTGTGACACGCTGATGGCCTGCCGCCCGGCTGGGCATGTCTTGGTGGCGTGCTCCAGACAGCAGCGATGTTAGCCACCCTGCTGACTGCACAGCCTGATGTTGAGGGTAGCCCTGGGGCCATCCTTACAGCAGTGTCACGGACAGAGCTATGAGGTGTCCTTCCTCTGTGAGCCCTGTGGAACGATCTGCTCAGAGAATTCAGGGCATTTCTTGGAATATAGATTTACTACCCCACAGTAGTTCAGAGGGAAGTTGGAGTTTTTAAGGAAAGGATCCTCTCCAACACTGGTGGCAACGTGCTTGTTACAGGCACGGATTGCTTGGCAGCTGGCCATCCTGGCCAGTCCATCCTGCCTTGGGAGACTGCTCGCCTCGACGGCACAAACTGTGCTGCGCTGGTACAGGGGGGATTATAGACCTGCTGCTATGAAGCCTTTATGAAGAGTTCATGTCCTTATTGCTTCATCTACTGAGTTGCTCAGGTAGCCAGAACTAAGGCCCCATGTTCTCTGTTTGGATACCAGGGCCCTGAGGGAACTAATAGGTCTTACTGGCCCTGACCACCCTCACCTGGGATCTCCATCCACACCCCTGGCTCACCCTCAGCCCTCTTCACCGTGGGGATGCCTAACGTCCTGGGTTGGGGTTGCTTCCTTGGCCTGCTCGGTTCCCTGCC